ATATCTATTGTATAATGATGATTTGTATCGTTTTATTCGGACAAATTCTTAGAATAGTTTGTGTTGCATCGCCTTAGAGCCTTAGAGTGTGATGCAGCTATCTTTTCACAGTTTACAAGGCAATAGACCGAGGATCTCGAACAGGCCGTACCGGCAATAAGTTTATGAAGCCATTGACCATTTCTCGTTAGCAAAAAATACCATCGCGTCGGCAACCCTAGTTTATTGCTTGGGACCAGCATGTTTAATTTCCTATTCCGTTATTTTCAATCATCGTCGTTAGGGTCAGAGTGCTTTTTCACCTTATTACCTGCTACGGGTTTTTCCCAAATCGCGGAATCCCTCGTGCGTCACCCCTTGGTCGCGGCTACTTCCAGGGGTGACCATTTCTTGTACGAGAGAGGTGACCATTTCTTACGAGGGCGGTCACCTCTCAAAAATGACGACCAATGAGAAAACACACCCCTTCCAAATTACCGATTCCGAAGTAACGTCGACAGCTACTTTTGCGGAAGACGGCAGAACACGATAATATCTCCTATAACACATATGTAAATCACGAAGAGAACACAGTAATATCTCATACAAACACATTTTAAATCACGAACCGAACGCTTTTATACATCCAATAATAAACACTTTAAAACACGAACCGAATCGACTAATATCTCGAGCAACGTACCTATAACGCAAACTAATCGGACATCATATCACGAACTATCAATTGGAATCAGGCTCAGAGCTCATTAAGTTGTGACTGAGCTAGAATAGTGTTGGGTGCACGAATCCGCGCTGTTCACGCAACAGTTTGGTATAAAAAGGCATTAGCGGCTACTGTAAAAGCACAAAACATTTTCAAAGATGAAAATGTGCAAATTTTATGTAAATTCGATTTATTCAAAAACTGTAAGTGTTACAACTAAATAGTTTGCAGTTTAATATTCTACATATAAAAATTTATCAGAATAGTTCAAAATTACAGAAGAGAAAGAATGAAGTATAAATTAATTAAATATAAATGGAATAAACGGTAAACAGAATAATTGCAGGAATAATTAGGAATAATCAGAAATAATTGGGAAGGCGTCGAAACCAGTTTATTCGCATCGCGAATCGCTTTTTGACCGTTCGTTCTGGTTTTTTTTGTTCTTTTTGCATTCTCGCCGTTTCTCTTGCAATCCTTTACTCGCACACGCGCACTCACTTATACTTGTTTGCACTTTCTCTCACATACAGGGTGTCCACGCCTAAGTGTGACTGCGCGAAATTTCATTAACTATTGATGTCACGAAAAAGTGTTTATGTGGAAATCGCAGGCTAAAAAGGGCTCTATGTTTTGGCGTAAACAAAATTTGTTTAATGTTATTAATGTAAAAGATATGATGGCGAAGTTTCGTTTTTTAAATGGAACTATATGTACATATATTTTTTTTTCAATCAGGCGATAGTGCTTTTCAAGACGAATTCATTAAGGTTTAATGTATTTACCCGATTTTTATAAGTTTTCGAGATATAACGCTTAGAAATTTACTGATTTTCAGCAGAAACATCACAATTTGAGTAGTAAGTCATAAAAACGGTCTTATTGTTGCGGTAAGAGCCGCATGTTTGACTCTGCCTGGCGAAACCGATAGCCGAGGGTCTACGGTCCCAACGATAAGTCCGAAGAGTACGACACGTGGAAAGAATTGTCCATTACGATCTAAGTTTTCCGCATCGAGGATGATGGTAGTGACAGTTTCAAGCTTGACGGCTTAGCGTAATTATGAACAAGCACATTTTCACCGTAACCATATAATTGCTAACAAAAAATCGCTATGTCAAAGTTAATTCAAATAACAAGTGAAATAATTAAGAATAAGAATAGATTACGAATTATTTACACATAGGGGATAAACCAATTATTTGTTATTAATTTAAACCGAGTGAATCGAATTTGTTCGATACTTGTATTCGTTATTCGAAAAAAATAAGAAATGAAATATCGAAAATTATTCTTGTCTTCCGTTACAAAAATACAAAGTAACAGATTCGCACATTTTGATGGAAAAATAACTTTTCTATTCGTCAGAAAAGACTTTAAATCTAATAATTAACAAAATTAACATTTGCATTCAAGCGCGGAATAATCCGCGAGCCGCGACTGTCTTCTATCACCGTACACTGAATAATCCGCGAGCCGCGACTGTCTTCTATCACCGAACGCGGAATAATCCGCGAACCTGCAATTGCTTTTTTTTACTGCGAAATATTCTTTAGTTTCGACAAACCACGTTTAACCACTTGTGGAAGCGTTTCGGTTCGATCAGTTTAATATACATTTTCTAAATAAGTTTTACTTTTTGTGTGAAAATCTTTCAAACAGCCACTATGAGTAAGTGCTATCGATCTACACTTAAATTCAAGAAATCTAAGTATAGAAAACAATCTTATTTTATAATTTAATCTAAAATTTAATTACCGCAATGGATTTTGAATATCTTGATTCGGATTCAGGTATTGAGGTACGACGACCTAGAAAACGTAGCCGGAGGATTTCGTCAAGTGATGATAGCGAAAATGAACAGTGCGGTAGTTTTATAAATCAAGAGTATGTGTGGAAAGCCGAAAATCATACTGCAATTATACATGGTTTTTCAAGTGCGGGTGGTGCAACTGTAAATACACGAGGTCTGTCGAGAAGGGAAATTTTTGAACTATTTTTTAACAAGGAATTAATTACAAAAATTATTACGAAAACAAATAAATATGGTACAAGCGACGCAGAGTTTATACCTCTTGAAGATGACAAATTAAAAGTATTTATTGCTTTAAATATTTTAATGAGTCTAGTTTCTAAGCCCACGATTCAAAGCTATTGGAGTACTGATAAATGAGCCATAACCGATTTATTTCTATCTCCAAAAATTGACATTTTTTCAGTACAAATAATCCCAATGACGCACTGATAAAAATTCGAGAAGTTACTCAAATAATAAAAAAAACTTTCTGGTCACTAATAACCCACAAGGTTGATGTGACCTTAAACACTCAAGAAAAAAAGAAAAAAAAAAACTCATTTGCATGTATGTCCCAAATAAAAACATTTTCATTGATGAATCACTAATGTCATATTGAAGTCGTTTGCCTTATATACAATTTATTCGAACAAAACGTGCGAGATTTGATGTCAAGTTTTATAAACTCTGTGATTCACAATCGCGATACATACACAATTTCAATATACACATATACAGGAAATTTCAATATATACATATACAGATAAAACTGATACAGGATATACTAGCAGAAATGTTGTAATCAATTTGTTGAAAGAGAGTCAATTATTACACAAGGGGTATTGCTTATACATTGATAATTGGTACAGTTCACCAACATTATACCGCAAATTGTATAGTATGAAAACAAATGTATGTGGAACAGCGAGAATAAATAGGAAAGGAATGCCTCCAGAATTAAAATCGCATAAACTGCAAAAGGGAGAGGCTGTAATATTTTGTACAAAAGAGATAGCGGGGATAAAGTGGAAGGATAAAGAAGATGTCGTTATACTAATTACTATGCACGATTTAGATTTTGCAAAAACAGGGAAACAAAACTGATATACTGGACAAAAGAGTTTAAAACCAACCGCAGTGATCGGTTACAATCAATATATGGGTGGAGTTGATGTTGGCGACCAAATGCTAAGTAAATTTCATACTATGCGAAGATACATTTATGCTTAAATTCGAAGAGAGACAGTCTTTAAATGCCATGTTTGCGTTAAAGCACTATGTATTGACCATCTTAAAGAATTCCACGAAAAACAATTTATTTAAATTTTCATTTTAATTTAAATAATTCAATTTTATGTATAAAAAAATATTTATTTTTCCTTTTTTGTAAAAAAAAATTTAAAATGCGATATAACATCGTATAAATATCGTTTTAACCCTTTCGCGCCGAGCGCCGCATATACAGTGGGTAACAAAAGTAAGTAAACACTTTGAGCTTGTAGCAAAAAACTATTTAGGTCAAAGCAAATATGTAACTTCAAAAGACAAATTGTATGTCTAGTGAAACTACATGAAATAATCTACACAATTATGCTGATAAAATGTTCATTAGTGCTGGATTTCCTCGTAAAAAATAATAAAGATTCGCGGTATGCAACGAATACACGTTCCAAAAGTAAGTAAACACGACTGGCATTGCTCGATAACTTTTTAATACTTGCAATTTTGCAATTTATCTGTAAATAACTCTTATAGATTATTTCATGCTGAATCTGAATTCGCAAACCGTTCCTTTGTAGTGGTTATCGTTTTCGAGAAAATTTGATTTAAAGGAAAATTGTAAGTTTTCAACTTTGGAAATGTTTCACAGTCTTATAGTTGCTTCTATTCATTTTGTTTTTATACCAAACTATTCTGCAAATTATCTTGAATAAAATGATAGGAATTGTGATAATATTATAATTATTTAATTATGTTTAAATGCCAATGAAAGTGAAGAAGAAACCCAAGACTCGCCGATGTCTGCTGATGTTTTTTAATTTATTTCAACGACTGAGAGTTTCAGAACAAATCTAATCAGATCAAACGAAACAGTAAATATTACAGTTGAAGAAGGTACTCAAGAAAGATAACAAATCGTGTTATGCTTTGAGTACATGTGTCAAACGTTTCGGAAAATTATTAGCACGAAATCCGAAAAACGCTCGTACAAAAAAAATGACCGTCTGTGATGAGTATCACTGCCGTTGCTATGTGAAGTTGTTACATGTTTATTTATTCTTGATAAATGAGTGCAAGACTCGGCATTAAACGTGTTCATTTTTTGGTGTTCAGTATTATTAATTTAAATTTAAATTTGAAGGTAAGTTATCTTAAATATTTTCTAGAAGTGTTTAACATTTCTTATATTGCATTGTATTTTTTAAATCGTGGAATTTTACTGTTTAGTTTATTGTTTATTTACTTTTACAACATTGTGCATTTCTGTTTTGTCATAGAAAAATGGAAGGAAGGAAACAGCTCACAAATGAGGAACGCAAAATTGTTATACATATGCATAATGAAGGCAATTCGTACCGAAAGATAGCAAAATTTTTTGCAAAAACCCCAGCTGCTATTTTCAAAATAATTGCTGCATATAAGAAAGACGGACGAGTTTCTGTAGGACAAAGGTCTGGACGGCCGAAATGTACAACAATCCGTACAGATAAAAAAATTATAAATATGTCAATGGCATCATCATTTATGTCGGCACCAAAGATCCGAGCCCAATTAGTAGAAACAAATATAAATGTGCCGAGTACACAAACGATCAGAAGAGTATTGCATGCAGCAGAAAATTATGGGCGTGTTGCAAGAAAATTGCCCTATTTAAGCAAAACAAACTTAAAGAAGCGTATGCAATTTTACGAATCTCATATGTTGCAAACCGACGATTTTTGGAAAAGAATATTATGGACGGACGAATCCATGATTCGCATGAAATACAGTCATGGTAGGATATACGTGTGGAGAAATGAAACGAAGAATTTTCATACAACTGTATAAGATCTACACACAAAAGTATGAACGAGGGTATAATGGTTTGGGGGTGTTTTTCGGCTAGTGGCATTGGGAAAATTATACCACTAGCCGGAAAAGTGAATTCGAAAGTGTACCTAAAGCTGTTACAGGACGTCATTATACCCGAAGGATGTACCTGAAGCTATTACAGGACGTCATTATACCCGAAGGATAGCGCTTGATAGGAAATGATTTCATTTTACAGCAAGATAATGCCCCCATACACAAAGCAAAATTGTCATGAATTATCTCAAAAGTAATAATATAAATTTATTGGATTGGCCGCCACAAAGTCCGGATCTGTCACCAATAGAAAATATGTGGGCCATTCTCAAGTTAAAAATGGCTGAGAAAAAGCCAAAAAGTATTAAAGAGTTACAGAATATTATAACTGCAACTTGGCAGGAATTTACTGCAGATGATTGTTTAAAATATGCTTTATCTGTACCAGGCAGAATTTGCAAAATGTCACAGAGACAAGGATATCATTGCGGGCATTAACCACAATATTTAAATGTTAAACTACAATATTTAAATGTTTTAACTTTGTAATTTTGTGTAGCAATAAAAAGTTATATTTATAACTTGTGTTAAAATTATAATTCTTCATTGCTTAACGCGAATATGCAGTTACAACAGTGATACTCATCACAAACGGTCATTTTTTTTGTACGAGCGTTTTTCGGATTTCATGCTAATAATTTTCCGAAACGTTTGACACATGCACTCAAAGCATAACACGATTTGTTATCTTTCTTGAGTACCTTCTTCAACTGTAATATTTACTGTTTCGTTTGATCTGATTAGAATTGTTCTGAAACTCTCAGTCGTTGAAATAAATTAAAAAACATCAGCAGACATCGGCGAGTCTTGGGTTTCTTCTTCACTTTCATTGGCATTTAAATATAATTAAATAATTATAATATTATCACACTTCCTATCATTTTATTCAAGATAATTTGTAGAATAGTTTGGTATAAAAACAAAATGAATAGAAGCAACTATAAGACTGTGAAACATTTCCAAAGTTGAAAACTTACAATTTTCCTTTAAATCAAATTTTCTCGAAAACGATAACCACTACAAAGGAACGGTTTGCGAATTCAGATTCAGCATGAAATAATCTATAAGAGTTATTTACAGATAAATTGCAAAATTGCAAGTATTAAAAAGTTATCGAGCAATGCCAGTCGTGTTTACTTACTTTTGGAACGTGTATTCGTTGCATACCGCGAATCTTTATTATTTTTTACGAGGAAATCCAGCACTAATGAACATTTTATCAGCATAATTGTATAGATTATTTCATGTAGTTTCACTAGACATACAATTTGTCTTTTGAAATTACATATTTGCTTTGACCTAAATAGTTTTTTGCTACAAGCTCAAAGTGTTTACTTACTTTTGTTACCCACTGTATATGCGGCATCCACTCGACGACCTGTGCGTACGAGCGCCGCATATGCACGGCATCCGCGCCACGACTTTTGGTATGAGCGTTCTGTTCCGTGACGGTACTTCGGCGGACGGGCCTGCCGTAGCGAAAGGGTTAAACAGTACATCGTTAATAAACTTCATGAATAGTTTGAATGCCCGTTACTGCACATACGTTCATGACGACCGCGCGCGGTAATATGAGTCAGTCGTCAGTTGAACGTCGCTATGTTTCAACGTGGCAGCTTAAGTAGAGCGATGATGTAAATGGGTTAAATGGCAAAAACATATAGAAATAATTTAAATTAGACTCACTTATTGTTTAAAAGAAATCCTCCTTCGGTGAACATGTGGTCTTGTGACTGGGTCATTTCACCCGTCTTGACCTACCATAAAAACGATACACTGGCGATCTTGACATCATGACGGCGTGAGTCCCTCAATTCGTCTTTTTCTCTCTTCACAACGTGAAACATTGTTTTTTCAGGGGACTGTTGCTTCGCGACGTAGTAGCTTGCACATGTTTTTTTTCGCCAAGGATGTTGATCGCGTTACAATCGGCAGTTCAGGACACAGCGTCCGATATTCAGCGGGAAAGAGAAAATAAGAAATCATTTAAGTTATTTATTTAAAATGTTACAGTGAAATGTGAAATAAAGTGAGATCAAGACGGGTGAAATAACACAGTGACGAGGATACATTTTCACCGAAGCAGGATTATTTTTAAACAATAAGTAAGTCTAATTTAAATTATTTCTACATGTTTTTGCCATTTAAAGTAGACAGGTGTTAACGAATTTATTAATTATTGAATTTAAAGTCTTTTCGGACGGATAAAGAAGTTATTTTTCCTTCAAAATAAGCCAATCTGTTACTTTGTATTTTTGTAGCGGAAGACAAGAACAATTTTCGATATTTTATTCCTTGTTCTTTTTGAACAACGAACACAAGTGTTGTAGTTTAATATATTTTATTAACTTTAATTTACACCGCTCGCTCTCTCTACGTCTACTCGTAATCTATTCACTCTTCGCAATTCGTCGCCAACCGTTCATTCCTTCTCATTCTTTCCTCACACAGCCTATCAGTCGTTCCGTTTTAAACGGTCTAATTACCCATTCGTCATTTTGAAATCTCTCTCTTTCTCTCTCTCTCTCACTCAATCACTACACAAGTATGGAACAAATTCGATTCACTCGGTTTAAATTAATAACAAATAATTGATTTATCTCCTATGTGTAAATAATTCATAATCCGTACTTATTCTTGACTATTTTACTTGTTATTTAATTTAACTTTGACGTAACGGTTTTCTGTTAGCAATTATACAGTTACGATGAAAACATGTTTGTTCACTAATCACGCTCAGCCGTCAAGCAAGAACGCGCTATTCTCACGCTCTGATTGGTCAGTGTTTTTCATTAATAATTCGAAAACTAAACTTTAACCAGCATTTTGGTAAAGGAAAAAGTTTTTCAGAATCACCCCAGCTACCACCCCCTAAAATTATGCCCACCAGTAGCCGAACACCCTGTATAAGCCTCTGCGTCGATCCTTCTTTTAGAATTTACTATCCTGAATTACATTATGTACTAAGAATTATGATTTGATATCTAACTACCCTAAATTGTATTTTTGTTCATAATAATAGCAAAATTTGTAAATATTTAATTAATGAATATTTATAAAATATATACATTTTCATTATTACGAAGCTCTTAAAAAGATGTACATATAAGAGAATTTCAAAGTGATACTACAAGACATAAGTGTGAACATCGAAAATTATCGACGACCGTAGACTTTGTGGTGCGGTATCCCCTTCAGTGGCGTAACTCTAACGAAGCGGACTACCGTAGCGAAAGGATTAAGGAGGAATATATTGACTTTATATGAATGGCTGCGTTCTGGTGTGTCAGTAAGGCTGCTGACAATAGTTTCGAAAGTTTTAGAAACAGTTTAGAAATATGAGTTGTAGAGACGTTGCACAGTGGTCCCAAATTCAGAAAGGCTGGCCAAAAGTCGAAAAATGAAGTATTCAATTTTTACCTTTTAACTATTGGGTTGGGTACACTGACAGTTTATGCGTTCAATGACAAAAGGTACAGTTGCCCAGTTCATCTACCTGCATTGGTATTTCAGTAGGAAATTGACTTTCGTTCGAGCAATACCTAGCGCGCAAATCCAGCAAAAATAGACTTTATTAGAAAAATTTGTAACTCAGTTCTCAGTGCATCAATTTTGATTCTGTAAAATGGAAAACACAACTAAAGGTGAGTAGAATTCATAGACACATTACAAGATCAATACTTACAAAGTACAATACAACAATTGAATAACGTTTTTTAATAAAAATTCAAGTAAATGACGACCTAGGTATTTATAAAAAAAGGGAAAAGTTTATGAGTTAAACGGAGTTGGGCTAAAAAACCAATTGTCATATTTAGTTAAGACTGCAATGCATCAGAATTAACAAAAAAATGCTGCCCATATCTACCCCTCGAGTCTTAATGAACGTTTGAAAATGTAAATACTTATGTTTGTCGCTGATTCATGCGTGTTCGCCTCTCTCTTTCTTTCTTTCTCCCCTTCATACAATTAGTCATTCGCTCACTATTTTTGTCTCTTTTTTTTCATACCTACATAGAAATTACAAATAGAGGAGAGGCCAACATTCAGGTATACGTGACCCCCGGGCACATATTGCCGAAGTACAATTAAGCAAATAAACGTTGAGTTTAAAAATATTCAGCATCAGTTTTTTTATAATTTTTTACGAATATTGATATGGACGTCGCAGGATTATTATAAATATTGTTGAAAAAAGTATAATATAAATCCGTCTATAGAATTTAACATTATGAATAAAAGATGTATTGATATGTTTGCGCGTGCGTCTATAATTACATTGTTACTGGAATGATTAAACTTGTTTAAAATATAGTTTAGTATAATATGTACATGTACATTTATATTTCAGTTTCTGAAGAAATTACTCTATCAAAGAAACAAATATTCATTGCACTGAGAAGTAATTTGAATGGAACAAAAAGTAATTTAATAAACGTAATTAATTATTTTTCTCGTAATTTTGTCTTTAATTTGTAACCTCGAAAACCACTTTGTAAAAATTTTCAGCTAAATAGAAGAATTCTTTCATATTTTGCTCAGCTTTTTGTTTTTGTTTTAATACTGAGCGTTCATATTGAATTCGCTATTTTGTTTTTCGTAATTTTGACTTTTGATTTGTAATGACTGACCTCGAAAACCCCTAGATACGAAGTTTCATTAAAATTGAAATACACCTTTATATTTTGGCCAGCTTTTTGCGATTTGGGACCACTGTGTGTCGTCCATGTTTCTTTAAGAGGGTTGTTTCTTTTATAAAGCGTTTTAGTTTGTTGTAAAGAAGTGTTCCTTAACCCATAAGTGATTCTTTCACTGTATGAGGAATAAGTATTATGTACACCTCAAGAAAGTACTTTTGATTTAGAGTAGCGTAGTAATGAAGGTCTGCTTGTGTGTCACTCAATTTGAGTTTTGACTGAGTG